CCAGCCTAGAACAACTGGCAGCCAGTAGGGGGATGATGGAGGAGACACCAGCTAAGATGACTGGCTGCCGGGGGGAGTGACGACACCAGTCTAAGGCAACTGGTAGCCAAGAGAATTAATCATACTAAGTAACTGGTAGCAGACAAGCATCACATTCACATATATCAGCCTGTACACCTCAGGTGCCGGGCAGCCTTGCTCAGTGTAGTCCCAATGCTAGGCAAAAAGTGCTGTTACTGATGAGGGCATTTTTCATTGCACTGCAAAATGTACTGCATGCCGTACTTTTTTCAACGAGCATGGGACAACAATCTACTGCACTGCGGCTGATAGAACCTAAAGTGGTATTAAACCCAAACCAAAAATGCATTAAATTCCAGCTAACCAATCATTAAATGGAGTGGCTGCATTAGTTTTATTTTTAGGCTTTTACCCTCGGTTTTCACCTGGTGATCTCGTCAGTAACACACCTCTTGTACTACAGTGTCCCCACTCTGGATGGTGGATCACAGAAGCACCATTGGATAGCAGCATTGTCAGTCTAGGGGAAGGGGCGTGTTAGATGTACTGGCAGATTTAGATACACTAACAAATTGAAGCCAAACTCCAGTTTAATACTTTAGAATCAGTAACAAACTGTTTTACACAAAAGCTGATCATTGTAAGCACCCGTGTCAGTGGTAGATGGTTTGTCTAAAAAAATCGGACGTCCAATCGGAATTAAAAAAAAAACAAACAAAAAAAAAAAGTCAGCAGCTACAACAACTGTAGCTGTTGACTTTTAAAAAACGGACACTCACCTGTCCCTCAATCCCGCAGGTTGACCGATTGTCCTGTCTCCTTGGTGCCGTCATCTTCAGTGTGGGCACGCGACTGTGACAGCTAGTGGCTTCACAGCAGGGTGCCCACTGTGCATGCGGAAGTAGCACTGTGCTTTGTGAATGGTCCCGCAGTCTTCTGGGACCTGTCACGTGTCCCAGAAGACTAGGGGGAGGGAGGGGAGGACAACTTCTGCTTCCGATCGCCTAGGCGATCGCAGCAAAAGTGAGAGTGGGTACCTGTCAAATTCAAGTACCTGCTCCCCAAAAGCGCCAATTCTTAATGGGGAGCGGAGAACAAAGCCTTAAAGCTGAACTTCCCCTTTTGGGTGGAGCTCCACTTTAACACTGTAACGCTACATTTGCAAGTTGAAAAACAATAGACTTATAGACTTACTGACTGGATCACCAGGTAAGAATAAAAGAAAGAAATCCTAAGGGCCAGTTCACATCACATGTAGTACAGTGTTTTTTTTTTTCAATAAAAAAACAGAAGGAAGCAAAGAAAAAGCAATGTGTTGTGTGGTGTGAACAGGCCCTAAAAAAGAAATCTAATGCAGCCATCACATCTAATAATTGGTAAATTGAAATATAATAAATGTGTGCTTTTGGGTTTAATACCACTTAAAGTGGTAGTAAAGTCTGTTTTTTCCCACTTGCACATACTGGTAAGCCTAACGTGTACTGTTTAGGAGAGATTTACCCGTGTAGAGCACTGGCGCATGCGCTCTGATGGAACAGCATACCTGTGCCATTTCTTCAGAGTTGTGTGCAGTAAAAAGTGACTGCCGAGTGCATGAGATAAATCATTAAAGTCAATTCATTAAAAAAAAACAAAAAAACACATATTTGTTATTTATCACCAGGTTTGTTTGCTGGCAGTATTTTAGTAATGTACAAAATAACAACTAGAGGAACTCTACACTGGCCAGACAGTGAAAAGTATACAATGTATCAGTGTGGAAATGTTCTCCTCCGAGTCAGGAATGAAAATAAATAGTAACATTTCATCAGAGGGAGATCATATTGTGAATGAAAACACGCTACAATGTTTTCAAAGTTTCACAGTATTGATCTGTACATTCTGGTGCAATGTTAGCCTGCAAAAAAAAAAAAACTTGTGAAAAACAAAAATAACACAAAATATAAGTGCTAAATATTCCAAAACATAAATATTTAACACATTTGGTAAATAATTTTTTATTAATGAATTGACTACTTTTGAAATAAAAACCACAAGAGTTATTTTAACTCAAAAACCCATGCGGTATTTATCTCTTAGTGAATTGACCCCTTAGTGCTTTATGTGCATTAACCGCTTCCCTAGCATCCTATAGCTGAACTACTGCTACAGGGCGGCAGGGCTGCGCAAAACCACATATGTATACGTGATTTTGCATCTCCGGGTAGCAGGCGCGTGCGTGCCGCCATTAGCGGCTACAGATGTCAATCACCAGGTCCCGGACGAAGATTCCCCGCCGGCACCCGGCAATCGCTAAGGAACAGTGACAGGGAAGAGACCTGTGTGTAAATAACACAGGTCTCTCTCCTGCCAGCAGTAACATGCTGCTCTATCCTCCCTTGCACAGCAGAGAAATACACAGTAGCATGTTTCCATAGTAGAACACCCACCACACAACACAGCACACAGTTAACCCTTTGATCCCAGATATTAACTCCTTCCTGCCCAGTGTCATTATTATAGTGTCAGTGCTTTTTATTAGCACTGATCACTGTATTAGTGTCCTTGGGTTGTCAGTGGCAGTCAGTCCCCCCGTGTTCAAATGCCCACCGCAGTCCCACCATAAGTCATTGATCGCCGCCATTACCAGTATAAAAGATTTAAAAAAAAAAAAAAAAATTACAGTACATATACCACCATTAGTAGACGCTATAACATAAACCAATTAATTTACACGCATTGGGATTTTTTTTTAGCAAAGACGTGCAGCAGAATACATTTTGGCCTAAATTTATGATGACATTTGATTTTTTTTCCTAGATGCGTTTTATAGCAAAAAGCCAAAAATATTTTTTCTTCTTCAAAATTGTCTTTTTGTTTATAGCGCAAAAAATTAAAAACACAGAGGCGATCAAATACCACCGAAAGAAAGCTCTATTTGTGCAAAAAAAGGACACAAATTTAATTTGGGTGCCCTGTTGCATGACCACGCAAATGTCAGTTAAATAATTCAGCGCAATTGTCAGTTAAACTAACGCAGCATGTATCGCAAAAAATGACCTGATCGGGGGGGGGGGGGGGTAAATCCTCTGGAGGGCAAGTGGTTAAATTAGCCCCAGAACCTGTGTACTTAATATGTGTTCAGTTTTAAAGGGATACGGTGACAACCCTACCCACCATGTGTAGTGAACACACATATGTATTTTTTTTATTGTAGTCTTTAATTTTTAGGAATAACTCACTGAAATCTGTCCGAACAAGAGTCTATTAAACATCCCGGGTATGATAAAATTTGAAACACGAAATCATAAATTATAATTTAATAATCATAAAAAATAATATAATAATAAATTTAATTCAATAATATAATCAAACCAAAAACACTGAAATTTGAAATACAGAGGCAAATTCGCAGATCGCTGAGCAAAGTCGCAGAATCGTTTTCAGTGTCTGATGACGAATTTCCCCCACAAATCATTATCACTCAATTCTGCAAGTGGTTCTAATTTACTATCGCTGTTCTCTAGCTGGTCTAAAACAGATTTTGATCTAAAGGGACGCTTTTTGGACGCCATGGACGTTTCTCAGTTTCCAGGCAGAAAGAACAGTAAAAATGCAGGCAGGGCACAGGACAAAGCACTAGGGACAAAATGTATGTGAAATGCTTTGAAACAGCAATGTTTTACTATGTGATTTTAGTGTATTGAGTGTCACTTTTTCACATTTTTAAATTTCCTGCCGTTCTGTCCCCGTACGTCCCGACGTCACAGGGAATGGAACCCAGAAGACAGATGCCGGCATCGGCCGGAGGACATTACAGGGGACACTGCAGGGGGGACATTGCGGGAGCTAAGGACAAGGTATTACTATGTAATATTCATTTACAAAAAAATTAAATTTTTTTAAATTGGTTGCCGGTTACGGCCGCCGTACGTCCCGACGAAACAGGGACCAGAACACGGAAGACGAATGCCAGCATCGGCCGGAGGAGATGGACGGTGACGCTGCAGGAGCGAAGGACAAGATAAGCGCTGCAGGGACTCCCTGAGCAACGCCGCATGGTAAGCCCGAGTGTAGCTCAGGGTTACCGCTCTTGGTACTGAAATGTTACCCCGAGCTACACTCGGGAACACCTCCAGGGAGGTTAATGAACTGTCACTTGTCATTATCAATAAAGTTGTAATAAAATATGTGAAATGTTAGGACCGCCATGGTGTGGTCCCAGGGATCAGCGAAACAAGCAACATCCCATAGAGAAGCACTGAGGCTCGGTTCACACTACTGCGGCTTCGTGGGCCGTGTGTTTGCGCAGGCATGGCTGCCTGTTCTTTTGAATGGTCCGCTGTGCCTGCGTTTCACACAGGAAAAGGGTTCCAGCAGCATTTTGAAAAGGCAGCAACCAGATGTTTGGCACCATGCGATTTCCCTGTGGTCCCCGCGCCCACAAGCACCCTGTGATTTTAGATGAGTGGGGGTGCCATTACGAATGAAAAGCAGCCCTGCGAGTTTTTAAAGAGCAGCAGGTTTTGGCTGTGGGTGAAGGAACAGCTGCGATTACTGCATCCACCCACAAGGAGATTGTCACCACAGATTTCACTGCTCGATCTCCATGGCTGAATGGCAAGAGTTAATAGTGATCCCACAGACAGCCAATGACTGCACTGTATGAGGAGATCCGGGTCTCTGGGAGAAGGGAATCCTGGACACATGCAGGGAGTGGTGTCCTCTCCTCTGTCACACATGACACTGCATTGTGTGTCATCGCCTTGTACATTCATACCAGACACACAGGCCAGTGCGATCTCTGACTGATGACTGCTCCATGCTCCCATATGTCCGCTACAGGAAGACAGCAGCCGGTGTCCTCTCCACACACACACAGAGCCGGCATAAGGCAGGCCATGTACACGCACGCTGAACACCCGCCTGGCCTCTCCGCTCCGGCCTCTCAGTCAGCGCACACCGACCTCCCCTCCATCCCATTCTGCGGCCTCACTCACCAGTATAACCGCGTCCATCTTCCTCGACCCTGCCGACGTGGAGGAACACACAGGTTGGCCAATAGAGCTGTCAATCCGCAAATGGCGCACCGCCCACACTACCAGCCTATTGGTCGTAGCTGGTGGGAGGCCGAGCCTTCGCGCTCGGAATTCTGCTATTGGTTAACGTAATTTAGTGCTGCCCGTAGACCGCTCGTCTGCACTTACTTTACAGGCGGAAGCGTCTGCTATTGGCCGGTATGGTTCACTGAAGGGTGCTGTAACCATTACGGATTGGTGGAGACATCATTACCTCTTTTGTCACTTCCTCCTCAGCTTTCTGTGGGCGGGTTTACCTCTGGCTTTTCGCATTATCTGATTGGACCTTTGTGGAACACCCTGCCTACCAATGGAGGGGTAAATCCAGTTGCTATGGTAACTGGTAGACTGCAGACGTGGCTTCCTGTAGCTGTACTCTGGATGATGATAATGGTGGTGACGGGTGGTATTCACACTCAGCACTTTGAACACAGGAGGATACGGAACTAAAACTCAGAGGCAATATGTGGTGAAGGTGTCACACCACCATATTACTGAAGTCACAGGAGATAGTTATTGGTCTCTCTGAGGTAGGGTGCCACCTCATCCCTTTAAAACTGAACACGTATTAGTTACACAGGTCCTGGGGCTGACTAAGGGGGTAATAAACTCACCTAGTGCCTTATCTGCACTAAATTAGCCTCAGGAACCTGTGTAACTAATAAAGGGATGAGGTGGCAACTCTGAGGGCTCCTTCACACCGGAGTTGCCAGCCTACCAGAAGGAAATTCACTGACATGGCACCTCCATTTTACTGGCACAGCCAAGTGTTTACTGGCATTTTCAACTATGTCACTATTTAGGTCACAAACAAGTACAATAGGCAATTATCAATGTAATTTAGGGTGGATATTAACACCTTCCTGCCTGGCCTATAGCAGATTGAGGGCCGGATGGGACACTCGGCATTGTGACTGGGCGTTATATGACATCCTGTCAAAACGAGCCTCTCACGCGGGCCGCGCAGCGGTGTGGCAGCACCCAAATATTGCAGCGTTCCCCTTTAAACTTTAACATTCCTAGCAGCCTCTGCAAAAGTGAGATCACCAGCACACTCCCCCCCCCCCCTTCCTTATTTCCTGTGATGTAATGTGTTCCAATCTGTAGCTGGTATTCAAGGCCATATACTGCACCGTTTAGAAAGCCTTTTGAATGTACAGAAAGTGAAAGAGGAAAAATATGCATTGTGATGTAATTGTTGGTATATACACCATGTAAGAGGTTTTTGAAGGCACTTAGCTTTACAGACACTGTTTGGCTAAGTCCCAGCTGGTAACTAAAAGGTTTGTTTTCCTCAAGTTCGTGTCCGGCGTTTACCTGGTTTTCCCAAAGTTGCCGCTACCACAGCACAATCTGTCACTGGCTGTGTTTACGGGACACAGCTGATGACACATCACTACACTGGCCCATTACCAGTGTCATGTGACCAATCACAGCAGATCATATGTCAATTGTATATAATGGATGGCTTCCTGTCATGCCATCCATTTTATACAATTATGTTGTTAGCTGTGACTGGTCAAGGAAGTCACATGATACAGACAGGGCCAATCACATAGCAAAGCTGTATCATGTGATCAGCTTTGCCCAATCACAGCTAATCACAAGAAAAGACTGAATTGATCAGTTTTATTCAGTAACAATGATTGCAAATATCAATGAAATACATTAGTATTAGCAATCATAATGTGTTAAAAAAAAATAAAATAAAATCCTGGTTACTTGCCCAGAGTAGTTCAATGCTTTGGTCACAGTGTGCTGAAAGATAAAATAGTAAAAAAAATGTAATACAAAATAATAGAAACATTTGAAAAAAAAATACAAATTAAATTATTATTATTATAATTTTCACCAAAGAAATGTAGCAGAATACATTTTGACCTAAATTTATGAAGAAATGTTATCTATTTGCAAAATTTTATAACAGAAACGAAGAAAAGTGCGATTTTTTTTTTTTTTCCAAAAGTTTCAGGTGTTTTTTGTTTTATTTAGCAAAAAATAAAAAACTCAGTGGTGATTAAATACCACCAAAAGAAAGCTCTATTTGTTTGATAAAAATGAGAAAAACTTCATATGGGTACAGTGTTGCATGACCGTGCAATTGTCGTTCAAAGTGCAACAGCACTGAATGCTGAAAATTGGCCTGGGCAGGAAGGGGGTATAAGTGCCCGGTATGGAAATGGTTAACCTCCCTGGCGGTATTCCCGGGGTAAAGTTTCAGCACCACAAGCGGTAACCCCGAGCTATACTCGAGAATACCCTGCAGCGTTGCTCCGGGATCTCTTCTGCACTTACCTTGTCCTTCGCTCCCGCGATGTCCCTCCTGCAGTGTCCCCTGTAATGTCCTCTGGCGGATGCTGGCATCTCTCTTCTGGGTTCCCCTGCGAGCGTCGGGACGTACGGAGACGGAACGGCGGGAAATTTTAAAATGTGAAAAAGTGACACTCAATACACTAAAATCACATAGTAAAACATTACTGTATCAAACCATTTCACATACATTTTGTCCCGAGTGCTTTGTCCTGTGCCCTGCCTCCTTTTTTACCGTTCTTTCTGCCTGGAAACTGAGAAACGTCCATGGCGTCCAAAAAGCGTCCCTTTAGGCCAAAAGCGGTTTTAGACCAGCTAGAGAACAGCGATAGTAAATCAGAACCACTTGCAGAATTGAGTGATGATTCGTGGGGAAATTTGTCATCAGACACTGAAAACGATTTTGCGACTTTGCTCAGTGATGTGCGAACTTGGCACTCTAGTTCAAATTTCAGTGTTTTTGGTTTGATTATATTATTGAATTAAATTTATTATTATATTATTTTTTATGATTATTTCTTAAATTATAATTTATGATTTCGTGTTTCAAACTTTAACATACCGGGGATGTTTACTAGACTCTTGTTCGGACAGGTTTCAGTGAGTTATTCCTAAAAATTACAGGCCTACAATAAAAAAAAATACATATTTCCATGCAAAAAAATGTACCGCTTTGAGCACAGAACTACTGACATAATCAGACCGCTAGGGAGGCTACAGGATAAGTTCACCTTTTGAACATGTTACATGTTCCACCCGTTTTTAGGCTTCATGTGCACGAGCAGCATTTTTTTGCCAGAGCTCCTAAACCCAACTCCATAAAAGCCTATGTGTCCATGTACACATAGGTTTTTAGCAGAGTTTAGGAGCTGCCATGTTTAGGTGAGGTTAAACCTCCCTCTTCTAAACGCAGAAGAATATCGTTCAGGATAGGAATGCTTGGACTGCGGGAAAGCGCAAAACGCAACAATTGCAGTACCATGTTTGCATTTTCCCATGTTTGTCGGTCAGGGTAGGCTCGTGTACATGAAGCCTTAGGATGGAACATGTAACATGTTCCCATAGCCGCACCTGTAGCTCCCCCTCCCTCTGACAGATAGTACGGGGAAACTTCTCCCCATACTATCTGTCAGATTTGAAAACAGCGCGGCCATGCGGGGCTCCGCCCACACGGCTGTGTAATGGATATTTTAGGCCTATAATAATTTTTACCTTTATGAACATTATTGTGAACGTTTGATAGGTATCTAGGTTTCAGTTCTAAAGAAATTCCAAGAACTGGACATTTTGAGAACTGCTGTAATAAAAGGACAAATACTCTGTGGGGGATGCTACTTCAAAGGACTCAATTGAGGTGAGGGGGAAGGAAGGCAGCTGGGACTTTCTGTCTTTTTTAACAGCTGGTGATCTAAACTGACCAGTGTCTTTGGAGCCCCCCCCCCCATTGAACAGAAATGGCAAAGTACTGGAATTTATTGAAAGGTGTGACTTTACCCAGAGGGGGTATAAAGCAAGCCATTGCTCTCTTTCTTGGAACCCAGTCATCAGGATGTCTGCATAACATATCATCGGTATTCTATGTTTCTTTCCAGTAACTTTCTTTCCTGTAGTTGTCTCTATGTATTGGTAATATACTGTATTTTTATATTGTAACAGCATTCTTTTTGAGTAGTATATCCTTTATATTATGTTATATTTGATTAATAGCAAGCTTTTTTTCTGTGTCTATAAATTAGATCTTTATTTTTTTGCACAGTTGGTATCATTCGGTACTAACTTTATTGGTAAATAGCCACATCAGGATTGGCTAGATTCATGTATAGAGAAAAGGTTGTAATCACTTATTATATTTATGAAGTGAATAAGTGAGGTGGGATAACCGCCAAAACACTGCGTCACTCATTCACAGTGTTCTGTGAATGAGTGCCTACAAGTCCAGGCAGCCTTAGCAGCTGTTCGCTTGTAGTTTGGAGCCGTTGTGCAAAGCTTTACAGGCTCCTTTGGACAAAAATAATAAATGCACATTTTTTTACCTGCAAAAAAATGTGCATTTATTATTTTTGTCCAAAAGGTGAACTTATCCTTCAAGGCAAAAAACATATTTTATTTGCGATATATTAATTAACTAAGGCGCACGCACACACATGAAATTGACCCTCGCAGTGACACTGACAGCAGTGTGCAGCAGCACAGATGATGGTGACACCTCACCAACATGACACATCCCCTCCTGAGTCACAGTGACAGTCTGTATCCATGCCAGGTGGTCCCTTCAGTCCACTGCAGCCAAAACAGCACTGACAGTCCTGCTCCTTGTTGACCTTGCTCCCATCCCACAGACCCATACAGGAGGCTCCAGACGCTCCCATCTCTTGCACTGTAACATCACATGACATGCTCAGACACCTCCAACAGACCCACCCACCGCTGGCGCTGCCCAAACACACTGTAAATGTGAATGCGCATTTCTGAGCCAGGCGCCAGTCATATTTTTTACTGGCAACTTTTTCCTCTCACTGGCATTTACTGGCTGGAGAAAAGTGCCCATTTTTTTACTGGCTGCTAATAAAAAATACTGATGGTTGGCAACACTGCTTCACACCACAACACCCATAGCAATTCACGAAACCTCATTGAACACCATTTTACTGCACATTGACACATTTTTCATAAAAACGAGAGAGCGGTTCACCTTCGTAGTGTAAGTGATAGTTCACACCACATGTGTTTCAGTGTTTTTTTTTTTTCTGCATCCAAAACAC